TCCCTGTAAGTGCCTCTTATTCTACCTTGCACTCATCTTCTCACTTCTCAAACTTTGTACGCGTTAGTTTGTAGCATACTATCATTTTCTGTCAATCGTTCCAAACCCAAGTGGATCATTGGGGGTTCATAGTGCTGTGAACACGGGGCAGTTCTGAGCTGCAAATGGTGGTGTAGCGCCAGGGACACATCTCTGCGGGGCCGATCGATTGATGAACCATCTCGATCTGCCGCCTCACGGCAGGGGTTTCCTCTCTGCGGTCAGACTTGCTTCAAACGCAAGCGGCGGGGAAATGGGAAACCCTTCGCGGGTGTGTCACTCGTTCTTGCCACTATTTTCGGTTCAAAGCTGTCTTCGTGGTTCACGTAAGCCGCTATGCGACTACCCTTTGACCCATGGACGGCGAGGTTCACTTGGCGAAAAATGATTCTCCCTTTTACAGAAAGTTCTTCTAACTTTCTTTCCTTTTTGACAGAAAGTTCTTCTAACTTTCTTTTATTTTTTGGAAAGTTCTTCCAACTTTCATACCCTTGCTTTTGTGCTTCGTTATATGTAGATTATTTGAATGCAAGTTTAGAATAAGAGGTACATGCGTTTAGTATAAGAGGCGCTGCGTTTAGAAATATGTTTGTAAAGCGTGCGTGTTTTATATTGCACTCTTTTTAATTAGTAAACTTTGTACGCGTTAGATTCCTTTCCTCTAAGATTTTTCGTTTTATTTTGATTTTATTATGACTTCGCTATAATTTCAATATGATTTCATTATGGTTTCAATATGAGTGCAATTTTAAAACAAAGTAGTAGGTTCCCACGAAATTAGTATTAAGTTTATAAGCTAGTTTGTATTAAAATTGTTAATGAATATTTGTCTGTTTCAGGAAATTATTTTATGTCTTAATGAATATTTCTCTGTTTCAGGAATTTATTTTATGTATTAATAAATGTTTGTCTGTTTCAGGAATTTATTGTAAGTAAGTAATGAAATTTATTTTCTGTATTAATGAATGTTTGTCGGTTTCAGGAATTTATTGTAAGTATGTAATGAATTTTATTTTATGTTTTAATGAATATTTATCTGTTTCAGAAAATAAGTATTCATCAAAGACCTACTGTAAAGTTCTGTCATCGATGGATGCGCTAATTTTAAGTTAGTTTTAAGTTGCGTCAAAAATTGTACTTCCATTGTAAAGTATGTGTGAGTGCATGTGTGTAATGCGTATACGCGAAGAATGAAGACATTATGAAGACATCATCAAGACATCATTGAATCATCGTGGGATGCGTGCGAGGACTACCCTTTGACCCATGGACGGCGAGGTTCACTTGGCGAAAAATGATTCTCCCTTTTACAGAAAGTTCTTCTAACTTTCTTTCCTTTTTGACAGAAAGTTCTTCTATCTTTCTTTTATTTTTTGGAAAGTTCTTCTAACTTTCATACCCTTGCTTTTTTACTTCGTTATATGTAGATTATTTGAGCGCAAGTTTAGAATAAGAGGTACATGCGTTTAGTATAAGAGGCACTGCGTTTAGAAATATGTTTGTAAAGCGTGCGTGTTTTATATTGCACTCTTTTTAATTAGTAAACTTTGTACGCGTTAGATTCCTTTCCTCTAAGATTTTTCGTTTTATTTTGATTTTATTATGACTTCGCTATAATTTCAATATGATTTCATTATGGTTTCAATATGAGTGCAATTTTAAAACAAAGTAGTAGGTTCCCACGAAAGTATTAAGTTTATAAGCTAGTTTGTATTAAAATTGTACTGCGTGCGTGCGGTGCAAGTTCTTTGCTATTTTATGGTAAAAAACTTGCACATTTTCGCGACGGGCTAAGTAGAGTCAGAACTCATTTATCCTTCCGATAAATGAGGTAGTTGCAATTGGAGGGTGGTAGGGATTTGGAGTTAGGGTGGGTCACTACCGTAGCCACCTCCACGTGGTGTGACTCGGAAATCGATGTCGTTTTCTAAATATTTTTTACGAAATTATATTTAGAAAACGATATCGAGCTAAGAGCTACGATTAGAACTTCCCAATTTCATATCTAAATTACATTAATTCCGAGCTGTGGGAGGAAGGGTGGGCTCGGGCGCAGGTTTTTCGTCACGATATGTGGCGAAAAGCTTGCGCAAATTGTAAGTGCCTTTTGTTTTAACTTGCACTCATCTTTGCAACTTTTTTAACTTCTTAGATATTAGTTTGTAGTAGTAGCCTATCTTTTTTATTAATAGTTGCTTTAAACTTAAAAGAAAGTTCTTGCAACTTTCTTCTTTTACTCTTCTCTTTACTTGCTTTTACATTATACGAGTGCAATTTTAGAACAAAAGGCACATTTAGGGCTTTAATTTTATGTAAGCAATTTTCAATGTTTCATACTTGTCTTAATCATTTTTGTATGATTCAGGTTTTAATTTTATGTAAGCAATTTATTTATTCGTATGTGTCTTAATTGTATTTGTATGTTTCAGGTTCGTATTTTAATTAATTAATTGAATATTTCTCAAGTATATTGTACATTTTACAGATGTATTTCTATGGAGTCGACGTGAATTGTGCATGCTTAAACATTATAATGTTACTATAACATTATAATGTTACAATATTGCATTTGTTTCCCCCTTTCCTCTTTTTATTATTACGACTAATTGTTGTGTAGGTAATGAACAGGTCATCATTGAAGACATCCATCGAGGGATCATCGAGGGATGCGTGCGTTAGTTTTAAGTTAATTTAATGCGTGCGTTAGTTTTAAGTGAATTTAATGCGTGCGTTAGTTTTAAGTTAAGTGTGCTCGTGGGCAGGGCGG